AAAGGAAAAGCAGTGAGTGTGTTGAATGTTTTGGCCACTGGACTGTCTTTATGCACTGAACAGAGAGTAAACTTTGTACTACACTGTAGGTGACTATGAGCTGACCTTCAAAGAAGTTAGTTTCACCAAAAAAAACTACAAAAAAGATTTGAAGATAACTCATTTTAAACATTACTTTATAGTAGACTGATTTACGATTTTCTCTGAAAAAGGGTATTTTTGGTTACTATTTGTTTTTTGCAATCTTTACACAGAGAAAGCAAGAATGCGAATATCGCTTGTATTATATCTTCAGCGGACAAGGGGACCCTGATGGACTTCGTGTGATGCTAATGGTAAGTATTTGTCAGGTTACTTCTTATTTTTGACTTTATAACAAACAGGTGTAGAGGGCAAAATTACTAAATGCTGATTAGCTGTGACAGAGGGCATTTTTCATTAATTTTCGGTAATTGCCCCTGGAACTGACCAAAATCTAGGAAACATTTACTAAGGCTTAACTGGTCCTAATTTAGGTGCCGATCAGTTTGAAGCTTCAACATCCTCCACGGCAACCCACGGGCACTTGACTGTTGTCCATGTTCCGGATGTGGGGAATTCGAACCTTGCCTGGGTAGGGTGAGGAATTTAAACTAGCGGAATACTAGTGTTGACTTATAAATATGGAGGAGTTTTTAGGGTAATTTACTTTCATAAGCAAATGGCTTAGGGGAAAAATTTCACATCGTAGAATGATGCTTACAAGCGAAAAACCAAACAGCGGCGCTACTTTTGTACGAGTGATGCTTTACTTTCCTCGTGTTAGTTACACAAAACTATTTTCCGGCATATTGAAAGAATAATTTTCGGGCTGCTCGAATTAATGTTTCCAGAAACAGATCTCGTATTTTTATGAGGCTTACTTTACCTTCGTATTCCTCATTGATTACACTACCTGAAAGGTCACGCTCTGCTACAGACCGCTGACACACCAGGCGATTTAGATAAAGAGTAATTGATAGAGCTACAGCTGTAGGGAGTTTTGAAGGGTTTGCCAATGATCGGTTGTGTTTTTCGGGGATCGTATATTTTCACATTCCACTCAACTTTGTCGTTGTTATATGAAAAATGCACCACCTCAGTCTTCGCAAAGTCAACTTAATTCACTTCCACCAACAAAGTACTTGGAGGTGCCTTCCCTTGGGTTCATTTTTTTCAGCGAGTTCCATTAATGGATCGCCTCTGCTACAATTTAAATCAAGGAGCATCGTCATAGTATTTTGAATCGTGTTTCTGTGGGGCACAAAATTGTCTCTAACTTGCTCGAAACGACAGAATTTCGCTTGAATAGCTCAGACAGACACCAAACATATTACTTATTTGAAATGATGAGTGCAAACCAATTAGAAACAACGATAGCAAAGGCTAAAGAAGACCAAGACAGGTTTCAGAGAAATTGTAGGCAAAAATTTTCAAGAAACGGTAATTGATTCACGGTCGTTTTTAAAAGATAGTATGGAATTCCAGAGAAGATAGTTTTATTTTTCCATGATGTTAATATCATTTCCCATTCGTTTTTACAGTGCTTCATACAACAGTACCAAAATATTCCATCACTGAAATGTTTTTTTTTTTGTGATTTTGGATGTGGATTATGAGTTGATTCGAGATAGCGTCTTTCTGTCGCTACTGTCGCTTATTGATGAATAAATAATGGTAACAGGACTGAGTAGAGTTCAATTTGGTCTGTAATCATACGAGTTAAAACAAACTCGACGCCCGCGTAGCGGGAGTCCGATTTTTTTCTCACGAGTATCATTACTGATCGAATTGGACGACACGAAGTCTTAGTGCCACTTAATCATAAAAATTACAATTTCCAAGTAAAGAAGAATAGCCAGGTTATGAACAAAGGAAACTTTGCAGTAAAAGACTGACAAAGGAGGCGTTAATTGTTTAATGTCACTCTAAAATTGATAGGTTGATTTAAACTACAACTTTGTATGTGATTGGCTTATTGAACTGTCCAATAACAAACTGTGCGATAATAGTAGTTGAATTCGTGGGAAATAGGAGTTTTTTAAACCAATCACAATCGATGAAATTGTAATAATAATTAGCTTCTTTAGGGAAGATCTGACTTTTTATCTCCTTTAATGTGGTTGAGACATACGCTATATAGATCCGTTGCCAAGATAAAGAAAATTTTTACTGAAAACGGCAGATATTTATTATTTGACAATTTGCTAAAGGCAGGTAAATTTACTGTAGGACAAGGTTGTCCCCTACTAGTTAACGTAGTACGGGAAAGCATTATCATTCATTACAGACCATTTTTGCAGTTTACGGTTGATGGATATTTTATTGCAGCTGATAACCATCGTTTAGGTTGAGTTTTAGCTCACTTTTCGTTTACCCTATTATTTTTTTGTTATTCAGGTAAAACCTATTACTTAGTCGGAGAGCTGGTCAGAAAGGATGCTGGTACCGACTTGCAAGTTACTGTGATGATTTCTTTCAACATCCGAAATATTCGGTAAGTTTGCCAGTTTAAATTGAGCGGGAAGATTTCCAGAGTAACTCGCTGAATCAAATTTTGGGAACCTAGCATATTCGTGGAATCAGTGCAAAACAACTACAGATCCTATTAACTATGAAAAGAGAGAGATAATTAGGACGCTTAAAATCACAACTGTCTGCTCGTTGAAATTTGTTAGTCTCGCACGGCATATTGGTATGTAGGGAAGATGAATAAAATTAGAGAGCTTTTTAATTCATGTAGGATTCAAATCCCGTTCAGAATTTTCCAGCTATTTAAAGTAAAAACATGGAAATATCATCAATAGATTGTTTGGTTTTTGTTGTGTCAAAGCCACCTGTAACGTATTTGGGCATATTTTCTTAGTTTTTTGTCTTTTGTGTCTTCTTTTGCATCTACAACGTACCGTTTTGTGTTTTTATACAAGTTGGACGTATTTTTCTTTATTCAGGTACGGCGGAGATTACAAGTTTAAAAAGAATGTCTTGGGAGACAAGTGGTAAGTTTAATTATAGTTGAATGGAAACGACCTAATAAGGAGAACACTCTTCTTTCGCGGACTTTGGACTGAGACATTGTACGGTTTAATTTATTCTTCCTCTTGTCAAAGCTTTCGATACATTTTTTTATGTGTGAGGAATCTAGTACTTATGGGGCTCAGTTTAAACGCATGTGTATTGCTGTCATATTATGTATTAACGATGCATTGTGGCTCATCTTTAGTTCTTTCTCCATCTTTTTACAGATTTCATGAAAAATGGCCATATCAAGAAAAAAAATTGTCATCCTCAGAAAGAACGAAAAATCGGGGGTCGATCCGCTACCGTCCCCCACCACACCCGCCTCTTATAAACAATTTTTTAAGTTATGATGACAGTTGTCTACCTTGTGGTAACAACATCTGTCTAACACGCATGTTTCTTTAGACAGACATTTAGTTATCTAAAAGGCATGCGTTTGAAATAAAGGTTACTACCACAAGGTAGACAACGTCTATGAAGACTTAGAAACTGTCTGTAAGAGGTGGGTGTGGTGGGGGATGGTGGACGGGACATTTTTAACATTTTCTGTTCCTCCAGTGATTTAAAGAGATTAAATAACAACAGTTTGTAATGCTTTATTTTTTTGTTCCTTCTTTTCTCGACTTTCTGGCTGGAAACTAACGTCTGTGTTCCTTGGTGCAAACTTGAAGTTCCTAAAAGTAAAAGAAGAAAACTTTATTCAGAAGGCAATTTTTGACACAAACCAACAAACTACATGTAATAAACACACTAATTCAAATCACAAGAACAGTAAAACCCAGAATGAAGGGATTTGAGTCAACGTTTGATAAAATTAGAGCTACTTTTGTAAAGTAGATGAGAGGATGATCCTCAACCAAAAGGCAATAAATGTACAGTTTTCCTGAATTTTATCTAATTTCTCTCTTATCTTTTTGTGTGTTTTTCCGTCATCGTCGGATAGCGTGAAATTTACTTTTGGTATCAAATTTGCATGTTTTTCTTGCGTTTGCACGTGGATTCATGTAATGGCTCAGCAATTTGAAATTCTGCTAAGCAAATTTTCAGTAATTCGTGACTTATTATAAAATACTAATTCGGTGAAATAAAGCTCATAGAAAGCTTCCTGCGGGGCTACATGATACGAATTTGTTTAAATCGAATTACAATTATTCATTTGAACCACAAATTTTAAACAAAGAAAAGAAAAAAACCAAAAACATGCTCCTGAGGAACTGGTTGGACAAAAAACTAACGCAAAAAATCAGGAAGATAAAATTCCAACGACTTTCATCGAAGCCAAACAGGAGGATTATTTTTACCTTTTCAAAGACATTTCGTCGTTCGACTTTGACTTAGTACAAGGGCTAAGATCAACCTCTCATTAGCTGGAACGTCCTAACTTCACAGTTATGATCAAAACGCGATCTGACCTAAGGACTAATTCTCTACCAAGTGTTTCAAAGAGAAGATGTTAGTTTTCTTAATGAAACATAAGAGATGCATAACTTTCTTACCTGTAATCACAAGTTCCACAACACCAACTGAATTGGCTTGAAACTTCCAAATCCACGTTCACATCACTAACAATTCCTCATGACTGCAGTCTTCAAAGAAAAATTGTTTATCTGCAAAAAAAATAATTCGAGAGCAAAAAAAGGTAATAAATTGGCTAGATTGCTGCACCTTGTACTTCACGGCAATTATTTGCTAGATCTACAACAGGGAAATAGAATGATAACAGAGAGGGGGAATTCAAACAAACATAACCCTGTCTCTGCACTAAATAAGTCTCCAACTGTACTCCATGCGACCACCCTTGACAATTGTCCCACCCCCTTCCCACACCCCACCTCCCTACACCCACTCCACCCCCTTGACAATTTTCAAATCCTAGCTTAAACTTCTAATCTAAAATATCTATTGATCTGCAGAGGCGTTTCTAAATGGCTAATATTTAGTTTCATTCTCGTAGATTCATCTGTCCGTCACTCCTAAAACAATACATTGTCATTTTCTCCGCCGTTTTCTTTCTTTTCTTTTCACTATGCTTAAGTTGCTTACCTATGGAGAGGGTAGTAAGGGGGGGAGGGGGAGGGGGTTGTCACGTGTACTTTAAACAGTATTTCACGCGTCACGAATTCGAAAGGGAATACTGTAAAATTCATGCATCACGTATTAATTTTGAGCCTAATCGCGCATTACGTATAAACTCTTTCTCACCCTCTATGGACTGGCTGGGTAACTTTCAAATTGAACGTAATTAACAGACTACTGTAAAAACTTATCAAATGACAAACAATTTTGCTACTTAATCAAAATAATTCTCCTATCTACTCTTCACCATTATGTGGTTGATGTTTACAGTCAATCAGTCAGAAAAAAATCAAGTGATGAGGCAATAACTCAGTTCTTAACCTATCATCCAAAAGTTAAATTATTCAGTTGAAAAGTCAGTTATTGTATCAGACAATTACAAGTCAGTCAATCTGTCAGTGGGTTGGTCAGTCAGTTGGTCATTAAGTCAGTTTGTTGTTCCATGAAGCAGGGAGACAATTTACCAGTCTGTCCACATATGGCCAACAAGGCAGCAGTTAGTCACCAGTTAGTCACTCAAAAAATTGGTCAATAAATCAGTTGCAGACTCAGTCAATCAAATGCAGACTTAGTCAATCAGCCATCTAGCCACCCTTCCAGCTGGGCAGTCATTCAGTTATCAAGTAACCTAGCCACTCCATCAGTCAGTTGACTAATCAATCAGTCAGTCATCCAGCTACTAGGTGTATCCATCACTCAAAAAGTCTGTCAGTCAATCATTCAGTGAGCTCTTCAGTCCAAATGTCCCTAAGTGATAGGTCACTCATTTTAGTAAGTCATTTAATCAGTCATCCAGTCATCCAAACAGTACACCAGTTGAGTTGATAATGTAAAGAGGCCACTGTAGAGAGTTTCAAAGCTGATGTTTTAAGCGTTAGCCCTTCGTCATTCACTCTGACTCTGTCAGAAGCTCTTTATGGTGGCCAATTTACATTGTCAACTCATTTGATAAAACCAAAATTGTCTTGCTATACTCCCTCACCAACAGAGCACCACAGTGTCTTTAGAAACTTAGCCCCTCAGTACACTAGTTGGTTAACTGACCAGTCAGTCCAAATGTCAGACAACCAACCAGCAATGGAGCCAGTCAGTTTGTCATTCACACTGTGAGTCAGTCTGTCTGTCATTCACACAGAGAGTGAGTGAGTTGGTGAGTCAGTCAGTTACTTAGTACATCACTTGGTCCACAAAAGTAAGTCAATCAGTCCTTTAGTCAGAGACTACAAGAGCAGTCAGCTGCTCTATAATAGTTTACTAACTGATGTTCAGACTCACCCACAACAACTCTCTTCCTGCAAAGCTGTATGAGTTAAGCTTGACTGAGGAAGAGAAAACATTCTACCTAAGCAACAGCTGCCTCTGTGACCAAAACAGTCCAGTAGTCAAAACATTCAACACACTCACTGCATTTCCTTTTCCTCTTTTTTGTGGGACCAAATTTTTGCATCACAGATTAAGACTAAGGAAGACATTTTTTTAAAGGTGAAACTGACTCCCTTATGGGTCAGCTCTTAATTCCCCATGTCTTGTACAAAGTCCACTCTCTGTTCAGTGTATAAAGACAGTCCCGTGGCCGAAACATTCAACACACTCTCTGCATTTCCTTTTCCTCTTCCTTGTGGGACCAAGTCTTTGCATCACAGATTAAGACTAAGGAAGAGTTTTGTTGGGTGAAACTGACTCCTTTACGGATCAGCTCTAAAGTCACCCATTACTCTTGTACAAAGTCTACTCTCTGTTCTGCAAATAAAGACAGTCCAGTAGCCGAAACATTCAGCACACTCACTGCATTTACTTTTCCTCTTTTTTGTGGGTCCAAGTCTTTGCATCACAGATTAAGACTAAGGGAGAGATTTGTTAGGTGAAACTGACTTCTTTACGGATCAGTTCTAAAGTCACCCATAACTCTTGTACAAAGTCTACTCTCTGTTCTGCACATAAGGACAGTCCAGTAGCCGAAACATTCAGCACACTCATTGCATTTTCTTTTCCTCTTTTTTGTGGGACCAAGTCATTGCATCACAGATTAAGACTAAGGAAGAGATTTTTTGGGTGAAACTGTTTCCTTTACAGATCAGCTATAAAGTCACCCATAACTCTTGTACCAAGTCTACTCTCTGTTCTGCACATAAAGACAGTCCAGTAGCCCAAACATTCAGCACACTCATTGCATTTACTTTTCCTCTTTTTTGTGGGACCAAGTCTTTGCATCACAGATTAAGACTAAGGAAGAGATTTGTTGGGTGAAACTGACTCCTTTATGGATCAGCTCTAAAGTCACCCATAACTCTGTACAAAGTCCACTCACTGTTCAGCGCATAAAGACAGTCCAGTGGCCAAAACATTCAACACACTCACTGCTTTTCCTTTTCCTTTCTTTGCAAGACCAAATATTTTGCATCATAGATCAAGACTATGGAAGAGATTTTTTGGGTGGAACTGACTCCTTTATGGATCAGCTCTCAAGTCACCCATGACTCTGTATAAAGTCCACTTGCTGTAGAGGACATTAAGACAGTCCATTGTCTAAAACATTCAACACACTCACTGATTCCACCTGTTAGTCCATGCGTCACTTGATTGATCAGTCAGTCAGGTACAGGTTAGTCCGACCATCTCTCATGAGTAATTGTAGGTTTTGACCCATTTCAAATTTGCCCCTGAAAATGAAAAAGAACCCCACAACCCAAGGTCAACATACAAACAAAAATTATCTAGTGTTGGGACAGTACTTTTTTCTCATTATATTTTGTTCTTGGCCAAGACATTCCTACATGTAGTAAAGAAGATTGTGTTGCAGTTTTCTGATCCATCTTGAGGCATGCATGTCTGCATCTAATCCTTTCACCAAAATTAATTTTTCTAATGCAATAACTGGTACAAGAATGGTATATTCCATTCTTATAACTTTATGGGCAATCATTTTTAGTCTTCAAGCACAACAGCTTTAGAACTGTGCAAATTAACTTCATCTTACTGGTTGACTCTTCATGAATAATTATGTGAGTGACAGCAACAAGTTACTTCAACAAGTGTTGAAAAACTACTATCACAAATGTGAAAATTATTGATTTGATTCAATAACAATTACTGAAAGTCAGCCAATCATAGGATCAGTGTAGCAAAAAGTAACATTGGAAACAAATTCATATCACTCAGTCATAAGTTTCTTGTCAAATTACAATCTTTCAATGAAAAAGATTGTTTTCATGTAGATAAATGAAATCCTAATCCTCAACTTGTTATGCTTCCAAACAGGAATAATCTGGAGCTTGGGCCAAACTTTGCATCATTCAAATTTCAGTTTGTAATCTGCAGAATTTTAATCTGCAACTCTCTTAAATTTATTTATAAGTCAACAATTTATTCATTGATGAAGATGAATTTTTCTGGATATATAAAAGAGCAATTAATCAGTCTCATAATCAGTAAATCAATCAATCAGTGAATTAGTCAGTTAATTGGTCAGTCAGTCAGCTAATCAATTAGTCAGTCAGTCAGTCCACCAGTCACTTCATTAGTCAGTTGATTGGTTGGTAAGTGTGCTCATTAGTCTGTCAGTCTGGCGATCTGTCTGTCAGTTAGTCAGTAAGTTATTTGATCAGCCTTTCTTTTCAAAAGTCAGTTGATTCATTAATCAGTTTGTCCATCATTTCAGTCAATCCCTCAATCACACAGTTAATTAGTTAGTTAGTCCAACAGCAATTCAGGCATTGGATGTCACTGATTCAATCAACCAGTGAGTCCACAAGTCCCAGGATTGGTCATTCAGTAAGTCACTCCCTAAGTGAGAGCACCAGTTGCTTTTCTGATCAGTCAACTAGCCATCCATTCTGTCAAGAGTCACTTATTCAGTCAGCAAGTCACATCACCTTTCAGTCAATTGATCAGACAGACAGTCAAACAGTCAATACATCACTTAGTCTGTTATTGGACAGTCACTTATCCAGTCAGTCACTAAGTCCACAAGTTGGTCAAACAGTCAGTGCATAATTCTGTCCAGAAGCTAGTCAGTCTATCAGATGGTCAGTCAGTCCGTCAGTCACTCAATCACTAACTAAGTCAGCTAATCAATCAGTAAGTTGGTTGATGAGTCAGTTAATGAGTCCTTGAATTTTAATTAGGCAGTCAGTTAATGCAATTAGTCAATTACCTGGTTATCTAATCAGTTTAACAATTATTGGTCAACTATTCAGTTAGTTCAGTTAGAATTTCTTTTTATTCTTATAGGCCAGTGCAAGTAATCTTAACTGTGCAGATAAATGGCTAGAAATTAGGGCAATCAGTGAGTCAGTTCACCTGTCATTCACTTGATCAGACAGTCAGTAAATTTTTCAGTCAGCACTTGGTCCATCATTAATCAGTCACTCATATGGTCTGCAACTTAGTACTAGTCAGTCAAAAAGTTAATACATCATTCAACCAAACAGTCAGTCACATAGCCAGCTTGCAAATCTGCAAGCTGTGAATTCATGTACATCTGTAGGTCTGTCAGACCCACACAGAGTCAAGCTATCACTTAGTTTCTTAACCAGTTGGTTTGTCAGTCAGCCAATAGGTCAGATGAGTAGATCAGTCAGCCAGCTGATCTTTAAGTCAGTCAGTTACATGAAGTCAGTCACACCATCACTTAATGGCAGTTGAACTTCCCAGCTTCCTATACTGTATTAGAGACTGGTAGCAGAAACTTTTTAGCAGTTACATGTCATCTGTAAGCAGCAGTTATTTCAAATTTTAAAAAACTGGTAGTTCTCTAAAATTTTTTTCCTGACAAGTCTGCAAAGTTATGTTTATTATTGTTTCCAATGCATCTTTCTTTGATTATAATTATCTATAATTAAAGCATTGTCACCTTTAAAAAACACCACATTCTGATTCATTGCTAATGTTGTCCATTCACCATAATACCTAGCTTTTCCATCATTGCACTCTTCATTCCACCTAAAAGAGGAACAAAAATTAGTTTTAAAGTTTTCTTAACAAGAATTCTCAAAGAGAAGTGAAGGGCCTACATGAGTAATCTTTACACAACCATAAACACTACCCTTCAAACTATAACTCATCCCTGTCCAAAAACTGCCGCGAAACCAGGCTTGTTTGAGTAATTTCTGATCCATCTAAAGACAATTTGGTGCTGAGTTCAACACCAAAATTTGTTTCTTTAACTTCAATTGGTAAAATTGGTAGTATAACTGTCTTGACATAGGAATTGTTGTTTGAAAACAGTCTCTGATCATAACAACTTTTAGATTGTACAAGTTGACTTCAGCTTTCTAACTATATTTGTATACATGTGATTCACCAAGAGAGAAACATGCAGTGCTTCAGGGGAATAGTGACTTAAGTGAACTTAAGATTGATAAAAGGATATGGTAGATCTTCACGAGCATCCTTTGCAAAAAAATTGTTGATGTGTTATTCCAAGTGTAACCGCCATAAACTATATCAACATTAACTAAATCAATTGAAAGGTGCTATCCTGCAAAAATCAGACCTAGTAAACTGAAAGTAGAAACGCAAAGGTCTCCTGCTGAGTCTCAGGGGACTCTCAGCAAAGTCATCTCTTGCCCATGACTGACCTTAGTTCAATTCCCTCTACAGCAATTTTGATGCTTGGGTTTCTTTAAATTAATTAAAAGGCAGTTTAAGCACACCGCAGCAAGGGCTGTTGGTCAGGTGTTAGCAGTGAAGATCTTAACCACAAGATCTTATCTGTTTGGATGAGATTTTCTGGAAATTCCTTTTTACTTTCATTCGGGACTTTAATCCTTTTTATCTTTCTCCATTCGCAGTCTACTTTTATCCACAGACAGATAGGAAAGATTACCACATACAACTGAAATCAGGAGATGTATATGCAATTGAAATTCAAGAACTGGGATGTTTTGCTGCAGAAAGAACTTCTAAAGTCATCTATGGTAACATGTTATAATTGGCTATTCAAACTTTGCAGGGTTAAAGCATTCATTTTGAAAATTCATTTTCAGCAGGAAATTACTTAGTTGCCATTCAACATTCTACCAACAAAATGGCCTAGGGGGTGGGCGCCTATTAAGGGGAAGACGCTTATTAGAGCGTGGGAGCTTAATCAATTATAATTCCTGTTAACGACCTTTAAACTTGAAATCACAAATGGTAGCTTGCCTGGATTTTAAACTTCCCGCGGATTTGACCAAAACAAACGGGGATGCAAAACATCCTAGATTTAGAAGTTAACATCAGTTAAATTTTTTTGGACAAAATATTGCCTAAAAGCTTCCTTTTTGACTTTTTAGCTCATCAATATATTCACTTACTAGGACTCAAAGGCAAAGATTTCCACAATCATGACTACGATCCAAGGTCCAAACAGCTTTGGTTTGTCTCCACGTCGAGTTCACTCTTCCAGCTGCGATGAAAGCGTTCAGAAATGACCAAATTTCTAATTTCCGAGCATAAACAAAGGAAAATCCAACCAGAAACTAACAAAGAAAGAAAACAATCCAACAATCCGAAATACAGTAAATCGCACGGCCATGTTCAGTGTTAGTCTTGCATGGAATGCTGGGAGGCAGATCGTTACCTTCTCTGAAGAGGGTCAAATCCTGAGCGGCTTATACAGAGCTGTTGATATGCCTTTGGGACCGTCCGAAATCTAACAGAATCTTCGAAAATGGATAGAACAATTCGTAATCGGACGCAGCCTTCCAAAATCAGGCGAAACCGTCGAGTTGAAATGATGATGAAAACTTAAACGCAACTTGAGTTGATCTTAATGTGTAATTGAAACTTGTCCAAAATCAGACGAAACCGAGAGAAATCAAACGGAACTATCCCAAATTAGATGGTAACATGCGAGCTAAAGAAGAAACGGGTTTTGAATTGAAATTTGAAAATGACGAGATTCGAAATTCCATCATTTAAGATGGCTGAAAAACGGATCGACAGTTTTTCGTCAGCAATCCTTAATATTTTCCATCCACAACCACCCCTACTCATTTTGGCCTATTTTCCTAATTTTCCTATTTTCTATTTTCCTATTTTCCTTAACTAGTATTGTTTGGTTTTCCTCCATGTTTAAGGCAATTTTGCTGCTCGCAGGAGGACAACTTGCTGAAACGTAACTCCTTTGAAACTGAATTTTTGCCAAGTTTGTTAACTGACATCCTGTTATCACGAGGTGATTAAGAAATGTTTTTCTTTTTCGTTAAGCTTCCCACAAACACGAAATACCCCACGTTGATTGAGCATCTCCCATATATAGGCATATCAAGTCTATCAAGTCCTGTTTGCGTGCAGTGCACGTACTCATTCCACGTAATACCGACCCACAGTCAGATTCGCCGGAAGCTCGGTGGTTATTTGGTCTGTTATAGTACGATATCACTGACCCGTCCGGAGTAAAGTCACCATCCAGGTAAATATTCCGGCTTGTTGCCACATGATCATGCACTTCCTAAAATATTCTGCTTGCAAGTCAAGAGGGTGTACCTGGAACAAATTAATCTGTGGTTTATTCTATATTCAGGAGTGCCACGATAAATCTCCGGCTGCTTTAACGGTTCAGGCACAATCATGTTCCTTAAAAGGAAAAATACTATAAATGAGCACTCAGTAATTTTAGGTTGCATGCATCACTATAAAGCCTAGCTTTCATATTCTTTGAGGATAACAGTCGTAATATTTTACCTGAATGATTTATTCTGTTTGAGATCAGGTTTAACAAATGTAGTTAATGCGTGATACTTGAAACGTTTCCTTTTGAAAAACTGTTAAAGCATGTCTTTCTATTGACATTTGTGTTCTCGATTCTGTTTTTTTTAATAAACTGCGTTCATATTAAGCGAATGATGTATGGTATACATTCAAAAACAGATTACCTAACTTTTGGCCGACAAAAAAAGATATAAGCTCTATGGGTTAATGCACCGCCGAATAGGAACATGATGAATATCATTATTTCACACAAAGAAAAACGATACAAGAAGACGAGGATAGAGTGCTAACTTGACCCGTTAGGTCACGAAAAAGCAATACGTGACCGCGACATTAGAGTCTAAGGATGTACGTTTTCTTTGCGGAAAACTTCGCGAAGAAATGAAATTCTCACGTGTACGGAAAACAACTTGCTGATAAGAAGAGAAGAAACTCGACAAAACGCAGAAACTAAAAGGGAACAATAAAGCTTATCGTAAGAAATACGATCTAGCAAAGAAAAGCAAGTCGTCTGTCAAAGAGTATCGTTTTCAAAATGTATAAAAGTAGTGTCAATGACCGTCAAGTGCATGTTGTTTCGGCCGTGGAATGCACTTACCACCTGCAATCGGTTCTCGCCTGGGCCTGTATTGTTAAATTAATTCAAACATCTTCCGGTGTGAGGTCGATTTAGATACGTAGCTGTTAGGTTAAAGATAAAAGGCACACTGTGATAATAAAAATAACTCAAGGAAACGCAATTCGTACAAATACAATCTTTTAGAAATGTACCGTCTCATATGCTTCAACTTATATTTCAGAAGTTATCGTAAAAACTGATTACAAGCAAAATCTGAAGAAGTAGGTTGTTGCATTAGCAATGTGAAGTTAGGGTAATCCAATTTGTGAAAAATTTGTATTATTTTTATTTTGTTCAGTTCGTCATTGCAGTGTGCCTCAAATTTGCTCTATAGAATTGAAATGACCAAGAGGACAAAAGCATTACTGCCTTTTGTAATCACATCAGAAACAGGGAAGAAGAAACAGTTTTCAAATTGATCGACTTTTGTTCAAATCAAGCCTCGAGATCATGGAAAGAAAAAAGGAAGACTCATAACATATAGCAAGTATTTGTTTTTTCGGATGCTCTAGCTTAAGATTTATATCATTACTTACAAATTTTCCTCGATTACTTTTCATTCGTGCGAAAGCAAATTGTGGATTACGTACAGAGCAGATTTCGTGAAACCAAAACCAACATAATCCCGACGACCTATCAGAATAAAGGTTTAAATTATCATTAGCCAATAAGAACTCAACGTAAAAACAAGCAAGCTGCTTGAAGCGCGGGAAACGTAGTGATCAAATCGCGATTGTTTTTAGTTTTGCATCTGATTGGTTGAGAGTATGGCGTACGTTTTCTGGACCAATCACAGAGCAAGTTAAATAAAACTAAAGCAATCCCGGATTACTTTGTCACACAAATGAAACACAGAGTAAGTCACGGGTAAGGTTGGTTATCCTTGTCATATGGTAGTTTTTGCTGATTTCTGATTTATCTTCTAGGACATGGCTACGATTGCGAGGGAAGATCTGAAATACGGCTGGTTTTCATTTAAGCCAGGATGGCTCCAGACTGCTAATAACTCCAAATGTTTCCTCTTCGTGGTCGCCATACTTGCGACTGTGCAAAGTTAGTTAACAGTGAGATTTGTTTTCCTGATTTGGTAGTTGAGCTAGTTTGTTCTTATCAGGAAGTACGCATGCTCCTTTTCTTTTATTTACTATACAATGGGTTTCTGACCAGGAGAGTTTGTTAAAAAATGGACAAACATGAACTCGGTGTATCATCAGTTAATTTTGTGCAATCGTTATTACAACAGGCATGACGGTAAATGGAATAACAGCCATAAATCTGCCCACGTTAGAGAAACGGTTTCAGCTCAATAGCAAAGATCTTGGAATCATTGCTGCTTCCAACGACATATCTGCCATCGTACTTGTCTGCTTTGTCAGTTTTTACGGTGAATTTGGAAACAAGATTAGATGGCTGGGATATGGAACACTTGTCACAGGTTTGATTGAATATAACAGTTTCTTTTGATATTCTCATTAACTCTTTCATTCCCAAGATCTCATCAGTAATTCTCCTTACTATCTGCCATATAATTCTTATGATGTTAGGTTGGAGAATTTGGTATTGGATCAACTAAAAATCCCCTAATCGCTATTTTTCTTTATTCTCAACCCTTGTCCGCTTGATATTGCATTGACACTATGATGAGAAATTCTCTCTTGGTCATTCATGAGAATTAGAGGGTTAGCAATCTGTGGGACTTGAACGCTTATGTATACTGATGCAGAAGGATTTTTAACCAAGTTAGACTTCTTTAAACAAGTTTTGCAGATAGTGGTGACATTTCTATGGGGAGCTTTTTTAGCTCTGACCAAAGTCGGTAATGAATATAACATAAATCATGTATTGACCTTTGGATAGCTGAATACCAGAGCATGATTTGATTTTCACAAGTGACTGCCATTATGGTCGATGCAGATAAAGAAGGCTGAATAAAGTTCAACCTTTGACCAACAGTAAACCCCTTGTCTCTTGAATATGGGTGTCACTTATAACTGAGCTGCGAAGCGTCGAAGCCACATGTTTGGTTGCGAAGCTAACTTATGAGTTTCTTGTTCCCGGTAACAAAAGAAATCTGTCTCAAAAAACTTTAATGTTTCAGCACTTTTTTTGTTTTATGCTTGAGCATATGCCAGTTCTTGCGCCTATGTGTGCTTTTCGCCAAAGTGTGAACCAAAATTACTTTGTCTTTCCATGTGTGTGTGGGGGGGGGGGCTTTGATACTGATATGGCCAGATACTGATATCCTTGCTATGGTGCTATGGTTATCCGCAGGTATTGGTTGTTTTGTATTTTTCCTTCCTCATGCCTTAACTAGTCCGTACAAACCTGTCGTGACAAACACCACAGACATTTACAGACGAGTTGAAGAGTGTATGGTGAACAGCAACAGCTCAACTGGTAACGCCTGTTTCTCCGGATACGAGTCAAACAGGTTCTACCTGTTTATTTTCTGTCTGGCGCAACTGCTCATGGGTGCAGGCACTACACCGTTGTACTCACTCGCACCAGCCTACATTGACGAAAATGTTCATCCTAAAGCATCGCCAATATACCTCGGTATATTTTTCGCGGGTGCAGTGGCAGGCAGTGGGCTTGGATTTGTGGTTGGAGGACCGATTCTGAACAATGTCTACGTAGACATAAAACAGGTTAAA